AACTGGTTTGCAACCTGCCTGGTACAAAGCGACTTGCAAATCTATAACTTGTTCAGCTCCTTGGAACTGAGTTAATTATAGCAAATCACACTAATTAAATTATTCACTAGGTCTTTATTAAAAACAAATCTATTATGTTATAGAATGCATGTTGACTTGCCTTAAAACTGATAGCTTGTCTTTCCCTGTATTTTGAAATTCCCATTTAGACACACAGTTTAAAGGAGAACATTAAACATCTGGTGGAGCTGCTACAAGGGCATTCAATTCAAGTCACATTTATTGAGAGCCTGCATTGTGCAAGTCCCACATGTTACACCCCCTGTAAATGAAAACCTGATATTTTTAGAAAGGTACATGCTTATTTACAGTACAAAATAAACAAAAAAATATATGATGAGAAAATAAAGGAGGAAAAGAGATGTTCTCTGATAGAATTAGAAAAACTTGACAGAGATAGAGAAGGAAGACTTAAGCTGGGTCTTAAAGGAGCAGAAGGACTTCCAGAGGCAGAAATGGCGAGTGGCAACAAAGGGCATTTGAGACAGGTGACAGTGTGAGTAAGTCACAGATGGAAAAATGTGCATTGCCTGTTCAGAGAGCAAACAAGTTAAGAGCTAAGGTAGCAGGTGAAGTCTTGAGGTGCAAGGCAACCCTTGGTGCTCCAGTGCACGCGCACACACACGCACGCGCGCACACACACGCACGCTTCCGGGAGGCCTCAAGCATATGGGCGGGCTTTTCTGGGTTCAAATCATAGCTCTGCTCCTCACTAGCTATGTGAACTTGGACGACTTACTTTACTCCATAGACCTTATTTCCTCCTTGAAAAAATGGCCATAATAGTATCATACCTACTTTTCAGGAATGTGAGGATTAAGTGTGAGTTAATGCATATAGAGGAACAGGACTCCATTGTACAGCACCTTTTGTGCAATTTAGAAAATTTCAACCCTTTCTCCAGGTAGGTACAACCTTCACCAGGGTACTCAATGAGGGGAGATGAAGATGGATTTCAGTCCCTTCGCCTCAAACATCCTTGTGCCAGGCACAACCTGAACAACTGTACACAGAAGCCCTGAGGAAAGACTTAGCATAATGCTTGATTATAACACAAATTCAATAAATATCGGCCATCATTATAATTACTAGGCAGCAAACCACTCCAAAACATCATTGAGGCTCAGTCAGAAGACCATCTGGTTAAGCCAGTTATGGAAAAAGACCAATGTATTCACAGCGCACACTGAAGTCTTAGAATTGGAAAACAAAGCAATGGGTGTCCAGTCCTGTGTGACTGTCCTCCCAGCAGGTGGTGCTGTCTCCCACGTAGGCACAGCTTCATCATGTTTTTATGGGACTGACCTCTGTTTACAAACGGCCTTTATTTACCAATAGCCAAAATAGTGTCTGTCTCCCACAGGCTTCCTTCAACTCTTTGTGAGGAGGAGGTGTTACTTCTCTCTCAGCATGAGAGTTCCACAATATATTTACTTGAACACTGCTCCAAGGAAAGGATTCTCACCAGATGGCTGAAAGCTGAAGGGGGACTGCAAGCCACTGTGAAGAAACTCCTCTGACTTCCTAACTCTTTGGATTCAAAACCAGAATGTCATCAATAATTAATTCACCAAATAACAGCATCACTTTACTATTTGACCACCTTTGATAGTGTTACAGTGAGAGTTGAGGCAGGACATGGTAAACCAATGGTGTAGATACAAAAAGGTATTGTCCAGGCATCTGGTCTCCATGCCAGAGGAAGAGGATCCAGCCCAACTTAAGTCCCAAGTCTATATTTTCATTATTTTATTTATCTGGTTCTAAAGAACATGTGAATTTCACTGCACTAAAGATAGATTTGGGGGAAATCTTTTAGTTGCACTGGTATACATCAAATTATAAGGAGAATTTATTACTTAAGAAATTACTTGGTAAATTACTTTGTAAAATGAACATTTTTATCTTCATGCTATTTAAGTCCAATTGGGTATATGCCATATATGTCTGCACATTTTCTCTCTGTCACTCCCAGTCTGACAGATTTTCAGGAGAAAATAGACTTCAAGACTATTTTTTAAAAGATTTCTACAAACTATTAAAAACAGTATGAATGACCTTTTTAGGTAAAGCAAATGAGTTGACTAAGAAGCTTTAAAGAGCCTTTTGGCTACTCCAGCCGTTCACTCTGGGCAGCGTTGGGGTGGAAATTTTGCTGCTTCTGCTCCATGTCCATTGCGAACAGAGCATCTCCTATTAATTTAGGATAAAAATCTACATCTTAATCATAATGATAAAATATCTGCAAAATAAGGAGAGGGAGGAGGAATTATTAAATCAGATCATGCCATTTTCCTGCCCAAAACCCTCCTGTGGCTTCCTCTTGCCTCCACAGTGGTTCTCAGACTCAGGACACTTGACAGACAAACTCATTCCACAGCGTCTGAAGGTTAGGTCTTGTTGGAAGGGCCGATGTGTGAGGATGGGAGATGGGGTTACATTAGAATATCCAAAGAGAGTTCAGAATGTTCAGACTATACACGCAGCAGAGATTCTGGTGAATAATAGTGTTCACCCTAGTTCATGCCAGTGAGAAAGTCCTTTCTCACCTCCACTGCCCTAGAAAAAGAAATAAAATAAAACCTTAACTTCCCTAGTTCAGTGTATAATATCCTCTGTATTCTGACTCCTGCCTAAATCTCCTGCTCATTTACTGCAAACTCCTCAATGCATGCTGTGAGCGGCTATAGGAAATGCCTGTAATACCCCCTCGTATGCCATTTTCTCTCAGACCTATGTGCATTTTCTCTGCCTGGAATGCCTTTCTCTTTTCAGATTATTCAAAAAAGTCTTTCTCATCCTTCCCAGCTCAAACCTTTATTTTCTCGGTGATGCATGCTTTCTCCCCTCCTGGAAGCTAAACATTGCCTTCTTCGGCCATCTCTTCATCTCCGTCTTCCACGGAGGGTAAGAGCTGCCTGGTTGCTGTTGCCATTGCACGTGGGCCACAGCTGCTAATACATCTACGCCTAGTGGACAAACGAATGCAGTTCTATTGAAAGGGAAATACGCCACAGTTCGGTTGCTCACAAATGATAATGCAGGGTGGTGAAATAAACCAGTGTCAATCTTATTCAAGGATTAATCTATTAATTAATCTATTAGCCTCTGTATAAAATCTGATTCAGATAGAAGGCAAAGAGATGACAAGCATCGCCAACAGGAATTATTTTAGCAGAATCTGAAAATCTGGAAGTAAGGAATGTTTAGGCTATAGAATATAAAATGATAGCATTAAAGATTCTTAAAACTGAAAGGGAAATGGAGCTCATCCAATTCCAGGCCTAATTTCAGTATTTCAGCTGAGAAAGAAAGGGTCAGAGAGGTAAGGGACTCACCCATTTCCATGTGTCTTGGCATTTTCCTTTCTCATGATCTTATGTCACAGGAAGAGAACTCCTGGAGACTGAGCTCTCAGAAGAAACCAGAATTGAGGACTAGGAAGTGAAGCAAAATTCTAAACAGTTCCAAAAATCCCCTCAGAGACTAGTTACCATGCTGCAGTCCTGCCCTTCACTCAACCTTTGATTATCCTGTGTCTGATGATTTTGTAAGGAATTAAAATAGAACACTTTTTAATTCTACTTAAATTTCTGTTAGATGACATTGTTTTTATTCCAAAGAAGTCACTAGTATAAACCTTAAGAGAAATTATTTTTATAAATCAATGGTTCCTAATCATAAAATAAGGGAAACAAAATGAACTGACAGAGATTTGTCAGAGAGGAAAGCTTTAAGAAAAGGTAGTAACATTCCTAGATTTAGGAAGTTACAGATATGGGTTTTACAATCCCCTAAAAATAAGAACACTGTGTCTCTCTTTCCTCATACAGAGGGCAAAAAAAGATGAGAAACCACTGAAAGGAAGCCTGGGCAGTGAGTGAAATGATTCTGAAATACAAAACAAGTGTAAAGAGGTTGCTAAGTCCAATGACCAGTTCCTACTCCTCATCTTACTTGACCTGGCGGCAGAATTTGATACAGTTGATAATTCCCTCTTGCTGCAAATATTTTCCTTCCTTTGACTTGCATGCTATCTCATAGCTTTGGCTAGTCCCGGGGCTAATCCCTTGTCTTTATTTTTATATCTATGGTGTATTTGTTTGGTAAGCTCCTCTGGCCTCATGGCTTTAGGCATCACTGATTTATTCCTCCAGCTCAGACTTCCCCCTGAACGGGGACTCGCATTCACCCACCTTCTTAACATTTCCTCTTGCACTTTAATAGGTATTTCAAGTGTTATGTGATCCAAACTGAGCTTCTATTCCTCCTTTCTAAACCTGCTCCTTCTGGAACCTTTTCTATCCTAGTTAACGACATCTCTATCCTTCCAGTTGCTTAGACTCCAGCCAGGTCTCCCTTCTCACAAACCCAACATCCAGTCCAAGCAAATACTACAGATTTTACCTTCAAAAAGATAAAAATCCCTGCATGTGAAATGGTGATGTTTTATTCATTCCTGTGTACTGAGTATCTAAAACAGTGTATGTCTAGAACATAACTCTCTGCTTAGAGAATATTTGTCGGATAAGTGAATGAATGATTTTGAGACAATGAATGAATACATGTTTAAGAAAAGATTTTTCTTTAAAGCCAAGAGTTAAACATGTCAAAGCACAAAGTTAACAGTTAGGAATGAAAGAAGTGTGTTTTTGTGTGACAGTGTATTTCTTATTTTAGATCACCATGTAAATATGTTTCCTGAGCTTGGCAACATGTTAGAATCACCTGCAGTTCTTAGTATCCTGATGCCCAGGAATTACACCAGAGTATCTGGGGGAGGGGCCCAGGCATCAGTGATTCCAGTGGGAGCCAAGCCTTAGAACACTGCTCTATAGAAATCATACTTATTACATAATAATTACTTGTTTTAAAGGTTTCATGGTAGAATTTCCCTCTTGTTTTCTTCCCTAACAAGCTAGTCTAATCTTTCTCCTAAGGTTTCCAACAACTCAACATGCTGGCACTATGTACAAAAAAGTAGAAAATGCAGGAAAATCAACCGAAGATAATTAGAATAAACTGGAGTGCTGAAGGCAGCTGAATCAAAATAAATATACAAAGGTAAGCTTTCTGTATGCCAGAAATAACCAATTCAAATATGCTGAGGAAAACAATTCTACTCACAAAGAAATAAAAACTACAAATACTGAGGAATAAACATTTAAGAAATAAAAAAGACTTAAGTAAAACACTATAGCACTTTACATAAATCAAAAAAATTTTTTTAACTAAATTAAGACATACCATATTCCTAGATGGGGAAAGTAAATATTTCAGACATATCAATTCTTCCCAAAGGAATCTAGTCTTATTGTATTCCAGTCACAATTCGATTTTGACTACATGATTCTAAAAGTTACCTGAAAGAGATTAGTGTATAAAATAAGAAAAATATTTTTATAAGAAAAATTTTGAGGAAGGACTTGCCCACCAAAGTATCACACCATTTTATGAAGCTGTAATAATCAAAATAGTATGGTACTAGTGAAGGAATAGATGTATATAGAAATGTGTTGGCATTTCCCTGTGTTTTTCACTTGTGGGATATAATTGTCTCAACAAAAGACTCGAATAATCTTGCACTTGAATTGTGTACCAATTTCCCCTCTTAAAGGTTCACTTTTTCTGGTTAAAGTTTCTGAAAAATAGACTGTTTGAGCTAATTAAATTATTAGAGAAGCAAACAAATATTTTGAAACAAGAAAAGAAATTCCTTCTTCTTACTCCCTGGATCTGAACTTAGGAAGCACTGGGACTGAGTTTCCAAAATGACGCATCACTTGTGGGGATTCATACGTGAGACAACTGTTACCAACTATTGTCATGTTGATTTTCTTCATAGAGTTTACTACCATTTCTCTTCTTACTTATTTAATATTCACATTACTAATGTAAATGTAAATTTCTTAAGGATAGGGACCTGGGAGGTCATTGGTAGCCGAGAACAGAACTTGGCATGGTACATGCTCAATGAATATTTGTCAAATATCACACTGGTGAGAATCCCACAGTTATCTACTTCACTGGGTCCTACCATTCCTGACTTTATAAGATGCACCATAGCCAGTGAGTTGGTTCACTAGTTTATCCCACCCAAAACCCTCTTAAAAGTATTCACTTAGGCTGAGACTGGATGGCCCAGATCTTCAGGATTAGAAAATAACCTAGACATTCCAAACACACCCTAACAAAACCTCAAAACTCACCTTGATTTTAATACGTTTGATATTATAGCATCTCTGAAGGAAATGTGAAAATTTTCCTTATTTATATGGTAATTGCATATTAGATCCTTAAATCAAACCACAATAAGCTGGATATTTAGTAGAAACAAGATTTTGGGAAACCCAGACTACTTTGTCCATTACTTACACTGTTCTAACAATGAATCTAAAGTCTGGCAGCAATAATCACCTTTTTTCTAGTTTTCTTAAAGTAACCTCTAAGCTTACTTTTTACACTGAAATTGTTTTAACATACACAAGACAGTGGTTCAAATTTGAATATAAAAAATAAAGATCTAAGTGCAAGAAGGGCAAAAACAGGATCTTTTAATGGTAGAAAGGATGAATTTACATTGAAATTTTTGAGTTTTAGCATGGAAGTTTAGTACATCAAATTCATATAGCTTTTATGTAATGATAGTGTTAAAATACTCTTGTTCATGACCAAATATTAATTGATGGAATGTTATCCATTAGCACTTTCAAAAAAAATGAAACATAACAGGTATATATAAAAAATCACTTATTTTCAGAAAGAAGAGACTACAATATTGAATTTTCAATAATTCAATTTTACTTTAGTTGCAAAAATAGATTTCCTTTATATAATCTTGATTCTGATCATTTAGTTTATATTACATAAGATACTAGGAGTAGTGAAAGTCTCCTTGCCTTAGCAGTATCAATTTGGGATATGTTAGAGGTTAGAATTATGAAAGACAAGAAAAAGGAAGATTCAGAAAGTATTTTGATAATCCATTAATGTGAAACCATTTTCTCTTTTTAAAATTCAAAAGTATGTGTGCCTCTGTTCTCTGACCTTCTTCTCCACACCTACTTATACCTTAACTCTTACCGAATTCTAGCTTCTTTTCTACTTATTTGTCCTCTACACAATGGTAAACTTCTTAAGACTAGAACTGTGCATTCCACCCATTAAGATGGTGGAATGCCCCAAAATGGCCTAGCCCCAAATGGCCTAGCATCACATTCTACAAATACTAAAACGTGTCTGCATGTATAGAATAGACAACCAAATATATCAAAGTAAAAATGAAGCCAAGAGATGTACATAGGTATTGCTTACTAAACTACAAAATGATAGGACAAAACAAAGTAGGATTCTCCAAGGTGTTTGTACAGCACCATTTGACCCGGAAAGAAAGACAAAACTGCAGTCTTGGTAAAGCTTTATAAAGATGGGCTAGATCAGAATGAAATATGAAAAATAGCTTTGTGGAGAGTGGATGTGATTGTATGGCTAATCACAGCAACAGCTGAATTTTTAATTCACAGTCAAAGGAACACAGTACCTGTAGACAAGTGAGGGGTGTAGTAGCAGCCAGTGCCTGAAACATAAAGGCCAGGATGCCACATTGCTCCTTGGGAGTTCATACAATGCTACCTAAACCCCTGGGTCCCAAAATAAAAATGGGTGGCTCCAGGGCCGGTCCCTCTAACACAGTGCTCCAACCATTTCAACCTAAGACTCCTCCTATCACTTGCTGTAATAATCATCTTGAAACAGGACATGCATATCTTGCTATATATAGATAGAAAGCACAGTGTTTGGATGTCAGTATCATTATATGTACTTTCAGAACAACAGTAGTGTCCAACAGTCCTTCACTGCTGGATCACACCCCTCCTGACACTCACCCTCACCAGACAAACCAGAGGTGCACTGTTCAAAAATCTGATTCACTTTGTTTCCATTTTGAGAAAACCAGCAGGAAAAGCCAACTTCCAAAACAGGCTAATGTGGAAGTCTGGTGATTATGAACAGATCATTATTTTAAATATCTGAATTACCAAAAGCATGCTTTACTGTGTGTGTGCATAGATGATTAACTACTTGAGGAATAAGCCTTGTAACAATGGCGGGTGTCATGGTCACTGTATTATTATTTTTTATTATGGTTATTATTATCACTCCCATATTACAGATGAATAAAAATGGGTCTCAAAACATTTAAATAGCCACTCTAAGGTGACATACATAGTCAGTGGTACAGCAAGACTTACTCATAGGTCTATGTCATCCATAACATATTTTCATTTATTTACCATACAGTTTTTCTTTTTTGTCCTTTCTATTTTAAGCATTACTTTAAATTTTGCATGACATAAAGGGATCTATAATAACTATTATATAAATGCATAAAACAGGCATAAATTGACTAGTATAAAAGCAGAAATGTCCCTGGAATGTACCAAACCACATTTTAAAATGTTGGGTATAGAGCTTCCCATAAATTACATTATACTCTAAACCTTCATATGAATTTTTAATATTGTAACTTTTTAAAAAGTATCGCTGTATAAAAGTTAATTTTTTATACAGTGCTGATTTTAAAGCAGTGCTGATTGCTTCTTAAAAGAATTCTTTACTGAAAAATTCCAAGTTAAATTAATAATCATAAAATGTGCACAATGTTCTGACCTTCAACCTTGACTCTTTCAAAACATTGTTAATAGTGTTATAAATACAAAATATCTTTTGGGGTTTACTCTAAGAAATGAGTAAAAAGATGAATGAAATGCAGCCTCTTTTATCACAAAGTAGAATTGGAACCTCTGACTTCACATTTAGTTTTCCAAATTTTGAGATAAAACTGATAAATTCACTACAATACATGTATTTAATTCATTAATACCACCTACAAAGAGTGGATTGGAGAGATAAGAAAACAAAAGCATATAGTACTCCCCAAAGCCGAGGGAGTAAGGTTTTAGGAAAAAGGGAGGCATAGTGGCAACAAAATATAACACGGCACCTGAAAAATAAGAATCAAAAGTGTCAAACAACCTTAGACACTAGCAGGTCGCTGAGACCCTTTAAGAAGAGCTGTTTTAGTGGAGTGGTGGAGACAGGAGCCAGATGGCTTTGTGATTGCTGACAGTGGCCAAGTTAATCCAAGGATAACCATAGCAAAACAAATTTATGGTAGATTATTTTCATTAGACAATCAGTAAGACAATAAACTTACTGATTTTTTAAAAACTGAATATGAACAAGCCTCTCCCAGTCAAGAATCCTGATTCTTGGCTTACTTTACATCTGCTGTTCATTTATTTTATAAACAATATGTGTTCCTGACTTGAAAATTCTTGATCAGAGTAGATGTCACTGAATGCCATATCCTTATCTGTGTATCAGATTGGCAGCTATTAAGTGAACATCAAATGAAAGACAGTTAATGTGTATAATAAGAAGATTGTACTTAATAATGAGATTTGACATGAGTCTAAAAAATGAAGAACGAGAAACAGATGTGTGTTAAAATTGGTTAAAAGTGAATTCGGATCTGCAGACACACAGACTCACAGATTTGTCTCTTGAACCACTAATTCTAAAGCATCTTAAAATTCTATTTAAGTGATTTTGCTTTGTTCCTCCAGCAGGAATCCTCACTGCAGAGGGGTTGGCAAATCATTTGTTTTCCTGAGAGCTCTTTGAACCAATCAGAACAGAGATAATCTTATTATACCTCTGTGGGCTTATGTTTCTTTTGAAGAGAGTCTGGAGAAGTCATGGGTAATACTCTACTGTGTGCCAGGAACCGCTTATGTTACAGTTGTACAAGGTCGAATCTTAATTTAACCACCAACTGGGTACTTAATTTTAGGTACACAGAGGAACACATTGGCTCCAAGATACTTCCTCTGGTTTAGGAAGGCGAGGCCCTGGATAAGAATGACAATACGATCATTCCAAAAGGTGAGATTATGAAATATTTGATCTGTACCTCACCACCTAGTTTATTAAGTAGGTTAGTATTGGGGATACTTTAAACAGATGGAAATACATATTGTGATAGCTTCTCATTACCTTCTTCCTGGTTGATCACCCATGGGTTTGCCTGTCTAGGGCCTTTTTTAATTACAGAAAAAAGCCAGGGTTGTTTTGTTTGTTTATAGGATATTAACTCAGTTTCATAGTTACTAAGCATAATAAAAAATAGTATCATAAGAAAAACAGATCAAGAATGAATATGTTCCTAGGATGTGTCAATGTGCACATGTTGGGACCCCAGGAGGGTCTTGGCTGGCCCTGGTTTCTGAGGAAAAAATTAAATGATTTTTGTGAATAATTAAAACAAATTTCTGTCAAGGCTTTTTCATGCTTGTATTCAGATTTCATGCTTTATATTCAGATTGAAAGATTCCTTTAAAGTCTTTTAAATCAAATGGAAAAAGGAGCTCAATAGAATTGGAAATTTGTTTCTGCAAATTAAATAATAGAATCTTGAGGTTGGAAAGTATTTAGAATTTATTGAGACCATCACCCATCTGGTTTTTAAATGAACAGGTACCTTCTAGGGAACCTTCTATATGCAAAATGAAATGATTTTTATGAAATAGCAGTGATATGGACAATGAAGTTCTAACACTGTTTTGTGCTGAGACTATATTATTATTATAAGCTATCATAATTTTGTATTTCTTTTGTTTATATGAGAATACCTTCTTTTCAAATGAAAATATACTCAAAATATTTATATTTCCACTAGAGTAGTTTAGTAGGTTTATTAGTTATTTGCTTAAGCTCTTTTAGAAAACTTTCTCTGAGGCTTATAAATATTTAGATTATAAAATGAGGCCCCCTTTCATTAATTCCATCAGAGTAGTTGGGTCATAAATTACACCAGAGTGTGGTTAAGCCTGTATGGCTTCTATTGTCAAACAATTGGGTTTATATCACATCTCCACCACTCACTAGATGTGCTGGCTTGGGCAAGTTACCTAATCATTCTGTGCCTCAGTTTCCTCATCTGTAAAATGGGGGGAAAGCATGTTGTAGAAATTAAGTGGCATCCACTTAATGCCCTTAGCATAATGCATGTCACAGGTGAGCACTTAATATAGATGTTACTTATAATAATTACTAAATTCAACAAAATAAATATTTATTAAAGACCTGCTGTGTGTTTTGGCTCTCTGCTAAATCTTGAAAGGAAAGGGAGAGATTGCTGTTGTTTCTGGAGAAAAGTCAAGAATGCTTTACTTAAAGGTAGTAAACTTCCTGAGGGCATGGATCCTGTTGTTTTGTGTCTAGCACTATACCTGGACCATAGCAGGCATTAAATACATATTTTTGGATGAATGAATAAGATGATCTGAAAATCCTCAGGAAAAAACTAATCACTGAAAGCTGATGGGTTTCAGTGTTTTTTTCATTTAGTAGAGAAGGGGAATGTAGTAGATATTATGCATCTGTATTTCAACAAGGTATTTCACAGTATCTCTTGATTATGATCTTGTTAACAGAAAGGAGACTTTAATACTAGATGGTGGTGTCTTTGGAACGATTTGTAACTGGATAAACAGCTTTTCTTGAAGGTTGTTAAATAATAGATTAATGTCAACCTAAAGGCCTCTGTCCTGGGTCAATATCTGTTCAACGTTTATCATTGTTAATGGAGCAGATGGACATATAGAAGACATGCAAATAAAGAGATTGATACATAGAACAATATTTGGAGGGTAAATAGAAAATGCATTAGATCTTAGCAGACAGGAATAAAGATCAAATCTAAAAAAATAAAAACAAATGTAATCAGATTTTAGAGTCCCACACAAAATTGCACAGCAACAATGTGGGAAAACAATATGACTTGTAGAAATTGGGGCAATAGGGGTCCAACTCCATTGTGTAACATGATAGCCTAAATTGGGCTAAATTAGCGGATCTCTAGTATATAGGAAGAAGAAGGTGCTCTCAGCTGCTTAATGTTGTGGTGGTCTGACTTCATCCATTGTGCCGCCTTCAGAGCCCAGGGTCCAGAGCCACTTTTAGGACAAATGGATAAATGGACATCATAGAAAGAATAGTGTCTAGTGTTAGGAGGAGAAGGCTCAGTGGGTACCTGACAGCCACACTGGGAGGAGTTTAAAGGGCTCTGGTGTGGCTGGGGAACAACAGTTTTTCAGAACGGCTTTGAGGAATAGGACTAGGATCAGAGAATAATGATTTCAGGAGAGGGATTCAAATTAAATGTTTTCCTAGTTGTTAAAGCTGGCCAAAAATGAAGGGCTATGTGGGTATATGTAAGCTTCCTGTCACTTTGGTGTTCAGGCTGAGGCTGGACAGCTACCTGTTGGGCATGTTGTAAATGGAGCTGACAGGTCAGGCTACCTGATGGTCTTTAACTCTGAAGTCTGGTGATTCTAGAGAAAAGGAAGGAGAAGGAAATAATGAGTGAGTCAGTGCCTGTTCAAGGGCGAGGACCAGAGCTAGAAACTGCCAGACAATCCCTGGAATTCCACTTCCCCATTCCTGAGGAGTTCAGTCACAGGATAATAACAGGTAACGTGTATTGGCTTGTAACACATCAGAAGCAGCTAATGAGGCAGCTAATCCAGAAAGGCAGGATTTGAATGATGGTTCAACTACTACTCTCAACCATCTCCAGCTGAAATAAAATCAATGGCCTGCATATGATTTCAAAATAAGATATGATGAAATGCAATGGCTCATTATTGTTTGAGTGAGTTTCAAATGGAAAAGGATTTGACCTGAGCACCAGACAGGAACTTCAGCCATGTCAAATGAGATCCATCATGCCCAGGAACAAATATTTTTAGAAAGAGAGAGAGAGCATGTGTACATATACATACCTGTGTGTGTGTATATATACATATATACACACATATCTATAGCATATAAACAATATTTTTTATTATGGTCTAGAAATGTTTCATTTTTATTGTTATTGTAGCTAATTAATGTAGTCAAAATATTTTTTTCTCACACTACAACTCAGTTTTGTGTTTTGTGTAAGCCAGATGTAGCTATCTGTAACTGGCCTCACCTTCTTCAAGAAGTACCACTCACCAGTTAGTGTTATAAAAATTTTTTGTCTCATGTAGACAGATACAATAACTTAGGTGATGAAGCCTTCACTGGAAAGACTCTGGTTAAGTGGATCAGTCTTTATTTAAGATGTCTGCTCCTCCCCAAGCCAAGAAACTCTCTCCACCAGGTTTCATCTGCTTTATCAAACACCTGGGCAATTTCCTCTTTTCTCCAAGTTACCAAGGTCCTTGGCCTGCCAGGAAGTGACCTCTGTGACCACCTGTAAGGCTCAGCCTGTGAGCCAGATGTCAAGCCAGTTTTCTTAAAGGCTCTGTAAGCTTTGGCTCCACAAAGTCAATTTTAGTTCCTTCAGAGTGGCTGGTCATAACTGATTAAATGAAGGCATTCTCGTATGTGACACTTTATCCATGGCACTGCATATTTTTCAAGGATGTGAATTTTATTAACTGTAGATTTTAATAACTCTAGAATTCAATAGCATTTCCATTGCTTAGGCATACAGTAATATCTAATACAAATTTCCTCTTGTTTGTAATGTTTTGGCAGTTTAAATATAGCTGAGGTGAACGTTTTCACACACAAATCTTTTCCTACATCTCTCATTATTTCTGTAAGATAGATTCCTAAATTTTAGAATTACAGACAATGGGTTGGACTTTTTAAAAATAGCATTATTACACTAGCTTGTGATGAGGGCATAACTATTAATAAGTTGCCTTTTCATGGGCCATTCTTAACTCTGTTCTTTTCTATTCTATTTACATTCCTTTAGAAATCTACATACTTGTGAACCCAAACCTCCTCCCTATTCTGTGTGTCATTTTCAGAAGTAACATGCATCCTCCTACATCTCTTTCATAACCAAATTTGACTTGAAAACCTATAGCAGAGAGTAAAAAGGTCTAATTTTGTAATATGAAACTAGAGATAAGAAAAACTAGTGTGACAGTTTTATCACCAGCGTATTTACCTAGAAGTCAAGCCTCAGTGTGGCCCCAAAATTGGAAGTGAACTTGGCAAAACATATGCACGTCACAGAGAGAAAACACCAGGTTCATCTATTCTCTTGCTAATTTTAGAGTTTCTTAAGTTTGATTGTTCAATTCATTCATTCATTCAGCCAATAGTTAGTGAATTCTTATCACGTACCCAATAACATAGTGTCTAGAGATTAATATGTCCACTTTGCCTTTTTATATATTTTCTGAAATGTTAGGTTATGTCTCTTTTAGGCAACATATAAGTAGCATTCATTTTCTGAACTCAGAATGTGTGTGTGTTTGTGTCTTAAATTAATCAGTAGAACATGTTGTGCTTTAGGGAAGAACTCTTTTGACTAGTTCTCCCTGTCATCTGCAGGATTTCACTCTAATAGAAAAGAAAAATACCATGAAGAAGGAATTGCTATAATTTATTACTTGTAATAAAAGTTACCCGTGCCTGGGATGGAACCCAATTCTGACAGCTTTACCTCTCTGAAATCTCTTGGGAATAGTTGACTCTTCTTGAAATCAACTTAATGAAGCCATTTATCTACCATTTCATACTACAGGATTCTGAAAAAACCAAAAGTGTGTAGCCACCAAATAAAAAACAAACTTACAATAAAATTTCATTTGAATTGAATTCAGAATATCTTTAAAATTACACACATGTGCGGTCGAAATTCAAAGAAATGAGAATAAGCATTGTTTTGTATATAACAACTGTATTTTCTTTTAAAAAAGTGAAAATGCCCTTTAACTCTTGCTCTTCTTCTAATAGGATGAATCCTGATCATTCTCTCTGGAACCTCCAGTAGATGAGCTCATCCTTCAAATTCTGCAGCCATTTCAAGGTAAAAGAACATTTTTACCCCTCAGGGTCTCAGGGTCTCCTGCTGCACACAGCAGAACCCGCAGGGTTTGGATTGGAGTCAGCCTTGTATGAAACTGGGAATAAAAACAAGTTTTACTGTATTGCCCTTTTCTTATCCCCTCCTATGACCTCCTACTAGACTCAGCATTAGACCCTCTGTCGTCTCCGCCCCACTACGGTACTCACAGTAACTATTTCAAGAGATCCTGGTTCTATACCAGCAGCCAGTATGGTTGGGCTTTTAAAAGGGACTCTGGAAAATGGAAAAATGAGCCCTAAAGGACAGAGTCTCTCACTGATGTTAACAGAATTGCCCTGATATGACAGGTCCTAGGAGCAGCGTGTTGTTTATGGACACAAAGCCCTTCCTTGCACCTTGGAAACAACTGTACACTCTGGGAACTCTTAAAACCAGCCCTGTTTAGGACCCATGGATGGCTTCAATTTTGTAATGTCCAACACAGAATGTGAGGGTGAATGGAATAAACAGACTCAGATATGATTGGAAGTAAGCCAACCAAACAGCTCAGAGGGAACAAAATTATCTTCGCCCTGGCCCAGGGAAAGGGAGGCGCCGTGCTGTGGGAGCATCCATACCTCAGGAGAAGCTCTGAGGGCCTCCCAGATCTATCCAGCGGTATGGTGTCAGCATGGAGCAGTGATTGGTGGTAGCTTAGAGACTCCAACACAGAGAGGTTTCACGTGCTCACGTTCACTCCTGCATCATATCTTGCAACATCATCCCAACCTCCTGGCCACTTCAGTCAGGCACCAACTGCTATCGATGTTGATCCTTTTTTCAGAGAGTAGTTTAAGATTCCAAGACAAAAAGTACAAAATGAAGGCAAATTTATGGCACCTCAGAGCACCTGAAGCAACAAAAAGCCTTATTGCACAGAGCCAAAGATAAAGATCCATGTGTCCATGGAAGCTATTTTTTAGTTTTGGAAGTTATTGTCATTGAGAGCTGGTTGCTAAGAGCAAGATCAGAGTGTTTTCTTTCAAGGGCAATAGATTGTGGGTTGTTTTCCTGCAGCTTCACAAATACAGTAAAAATGAAGGTACCTGTTACCTGTGCTCTGTCCAGACTCCACTTATTAGCTCTGTGACATTGGTTGGGTCTTTTAACCTCTTGAAGCTTAAGTTTCTACTTATGAACAATGAATCTATAATACCTACAAAGAAAAATGGGAGGATTTAAATTAAGGCAGTATATGCAAAGGGCTTTGCACCATGCTTGAAACAAAGCAAGAATTCCATAATTTATGACTGTTATTATAACCGCCACTTTTATTATTGCCAAAGATATTCTAAAACTTACATGATCACCAAACTTTCCTTTTTCCGCTGTCTAAATCTAGGGTTTTACTCAGTCTATCTATAGAGTAAACTAATAATTATTGATATCTGAATAATATATTTAACATTTGGAAGTTCTTAATTTAGTGACTTTTTATCTGGGGTATGCAAATGGGCTTCAGAGGATTCATGAATTATTGTATGCAAAATTTTGAATGAGCATGCATCCCTCTGGAGAGAGAATCCACTGCTTTCAGCCAGTATGTTCCTGGCCCTAAGAAAGGTTCACCAGTGCTTTAAATGAAATGCCTAACTGTCCAATATGCTTGTTCAGCTATGTATGGAAAATAAATAAACCTAACTAGTGGGCTTCTCTGGAACAAGATCAGTAAACTATTATTTAGGAAGGGTCAATCAATTTCTCTCCACTGAGAAGTGGGGCACCTGTCAATAGGTCTTAAAGAAAATCAAAATATTATTTGTCTCTTCACCAGATTCCTGGTTGTTGCATTATTTAAATAATTTTAAATTGGGCTTCTGGTCATTTTAAATTTAAAGTGCAGGTAAATAATTCTTGCCTTTCTCATTGCATCGCGATGTTTCCAGGTCCATTCCACTGATGCTCCTTCGATTGTCTCTCTGATATTTTTGTGCATCTACACACGTATCTTTACCTCATCCCAAGCTCTCAGTAAAAATTTGGAGACAGCTTGTGTTAGGTGACACTGTTCCATGTATTAAGAGTTTCTCACTATTTGTACCCTGCTGTAGTTAGAGATACAAAACAGTTAAGAGTCTTAGATACTATTTCCTTCTGGATAGTAGTTAAAAGTTTCCACAGATAACTCAGTTGTCTAAAAACTCTGTGGTATCTCACATACTGGAAGCCCAAATTTCAAACAAGGTTAGAGTTAAGCCGGTGACTTAAATAGGTGAAAGGCTCTGTATCCCATTACTAATCCCAGGGCCATGCCATCCCATGTCACCACAGTAATGTTAGTGAGAAAGACAGTAGGTAATGCTACAGGCTTCAGTTTACTGCTGGATTGCGCTGATGAACTAGTGCCTGTCCCCTAGTAATGACTCAACAACTTTTCTCCAGGGCCCACTGAGAAAAGCCATTTGCTGAGTTTGTTGACTAGGACTGGAAGTAGAAAAGACAGAATGCCTCAGGAAACTAATAGTTCAAGTGACAAGACAACACAAATACATGAAGAACTCATAAAACAAATGCGAAATGAGTGTAAATCCAGATGTTGGGAAAATATCGTACAAGAGGAGATATTCACAGGTAAAGAAGGCCAGAGAGGAAATGGAGAATTTCACCAAGGGCTTTCATTGGATAAATGTCTTGAGCCAGGCTTGAGGCTGTGTGGGCCTTAGCGTGGGCCAGCTGGGAGGGCCTTATGAATGAACAGGAATAAGATATAAAAGCACGAAGTGAGAAAAATGAAGCCAAGCAAGCACAGAATAGGCAATTAAATTTGTTTTGTTGGGAGAAAAACCCTGTACCAAAGGAAAATGGACATTTTTAAGAATAAGGCAGAGCCTAGATTA